CTTTTCGTCTGAGGATTAGAGGATGTTACCGCGTTCGGCTGCCTTCTTGTAGAATTTGACGGCTTCCTTGAGGTCCTGCTTGACGCCGTCGCCGTTGCGGTAACACACGCCCATGTCGTAGATGGCCATGTCGCACCCGCCCGCAGCCGCTTGCTGCAACATCTGAAATCCTGTTGGATCGGTGCGTGTGCGTGTGCGGTGGTGCGTGTGCGTGTGCGTGTGTCAGCACTTCCAAGCGGCCAGCACCTGCAGCAGCACCCACGCCAAAGGGCGGGGAAGAGGAGGAGGAGACCTTTCTTGGCATTCCTGCGCACGCCGCGGCCAGATATGAAGCAGATGGCCAGGTTGCGCAGGGCCAACATGTTGTCCTCCGACGCCAAGGCCTCGTATATCTCCACCGCCTGTACCATAAAAAGTATTTATTTATGTATTTATTGTAATACACTATATCCTGTATTATTGTTGTTATTTACCTATTTATTTATTTATTTATATATATGTACTTATTGCCCCAGAGAGGTGGGAGGCGTGCCTTGATCCAATCGATGCGCGTTTGGTCGTGGCTAACGGCTTTGGTGCAGCAGCTGAGGTCTACGGCGGCGAGAGAGTGGCCCATCTCGGCAGCACGGGCCAGCAGGTCCTTGCCCTTGGCCGTGTCTCGAGCAAGGTTGCTTTGCTGCGAGTAGCGGTGGCCCGCTATCAGCCGGCGCCCTCGAAAGTAGAAGCGCTCGGCCTCCTTCTCCCATCTCTTCTGCTTCTCTTCTTCTTCGTTGCCACGGCCACCAATCAAGCTGCCCGCATACAAGGTCAAGAATCCTCCCTCCCCTCCTATCTTGTTCAGCCAGGCAAACATTCTTCCTTTTTGATTGCACCTAACCTGGTTCCTGCCAAGTTTGATTCAAGAAGCTGCCCCGCCCCGCAGATGCACAGCATAATCGAATCGCCGATGCGTCGGGAAGGTGATCTTGTTGCGTTGAGAAGTTTGGTCGTCAAATGGTTGTCAACGTGACGGCCCGTTCCCCATAAATATGTCTGCAGCCCATATTAAAAAGAAAGTAAACAAATGAATAAATGAATAAATGATACTTCGCTACACTCGAGTGATCACTGGCACGACATTCACAAGCTCCTCTTTTCCTTGGAGGTTACCTGTTGGATGAACACATTACACGAAGCCCATGAGAAGTCGCAAGACACCTTCTCGACCAGCGTCCATGGACAGGATGGCGAAGATGGTGGCGGTGGCAGAGGCTGACCCACGGAAAGGAAGATGCTGCCGGGTCGAAGCAAGCGGGCCGCCCGCTCGGCGATTCCCTCCATCAGCGTTCGCCCGAACGTCACACAGCAGCAGAACAC